TATATATTTCTTCAAAAAAGTCCTTTCCTCTAAATAATTTTTTTTCTTCAAATGCACTTTAGTACTGACATGAATTTTGTGTATGGTGAAATATTGTATAGGCTAACATGGCTACTTGTCCAAGCATGATTGTACCAGAAGTTCTCAGAAAAGAAAATTATGAAAGGTGGAGCATTTTAATGGAACATTATTTAGTAGCTCAAAATCTTTGGGACGTTGTTCAAGTAAATGAGATGCCTGGCCAGGGAGAGTGGATTCAAAAGAATGCTTTAGCTCTGCATGCAATTAAGGTTTCATGCGGAACAGAAATGTTCAATCGGATTAAGAAGATTAATTCAGCCAAAGCTGCTTGGGATGCTTTAGCCGAAATGCAGGGACCACCTTCCTATCACGACATTGTTGAGCTCCAAGAAGCTTTCTCTATGGACATTGACGGGTTGCAAGTGGAAACGCTAACAGGTTTTATTACATCTCCTCTGTTCCGAGTTTGCTATTTCTTCTGCGCATTTGTTGTTGGAGGTCGAATTTCTATTGCCTTACAAGTTACAAACATGATTGGCAGGGCAACAAAAGACCTTGCATGATTGGATTCGCAGGGGGAATATTGGCAAAGTAAAGCAGTTCTTACGCGACAATCCGGATTCAAGATTTGAAAGTATATTAGCCTCTGCTATCCGCGATGCAATTACTGCTGGTGAGAAAGAATTTGCACGCTATCTCTACAAGGAGACTCCTCTGGAATATCTAAATGGAGATGGTGGCTTTTTCCTCCTCCAAGAGTGTATAAAAAAGAAAATGTTTGGTATGAGCTTTAACAATCTTTTTCCTTTTCCTGTTAATGTTTCACTTTTATCTCACAAAATGTGGTATCAGATATTGCATTCGATCTACTCCGCTTTGTTCCAGAGCTGGCAATCAGATACCCTTCTGGTTCCACTCCACTCATTTTAATGCTTGCTCAATCACCCTCAGTGTTGGAAGGAAGACTTTTTGGATCTTTGTCACTGTGGATATATAATTGTTAGTATGGCTTATCTTTTTCTAATTATTAATTTTTATTTTTTAATAAATATAATTATAATAATTAATTAATAAAATTATATATAGTTTTAATTAATCACTATTTAAATAAAATTTGTTGTTTAATATTCATTTTAATTTTTTTAAATAAAGGTAAAGTAAGAAGAAATGCATTAAATAACATTTTAAAAGGAAAAAAAAAGTGAATTTCTATAAAAAATAAAAATAAAAATATACGATTAAATTTAAACACTTCAAATTAAAAATTAAATTTACTAAAGTTGATTGGGAAGTATATATAATTATTTGGTTAAATCAAAATTAATCTTAAATTCCCCACAACTCTTATACCTCAAAGAAATACAAGAGATAGTTTTGGGTTTACCGTCTTTTTCCTTTCCTCTTCCGATTGATTTAGTTTATAACTGCTATTTTTGTTGATTGTAATTATGATTGAAGATATAAGAGTGAAGTTATACCCCATCAAACCAGAAGGGACTCCAGCTAATGGTGTTGGCATCGTTGAGAACCAACAAACACGAGGGGAGTCAATCATTTCAGTGTTTAAATCCTTTCGTTCTAATCCTGGAAAACTTCCAGAGGCAATAAAAACTGCGATTTCACTCATCAGTGGATTTACTCTTGGTAAGCAATAACGCCCACTCAATTAGCCGTTTTTTTTTCATCCTTTTTTTTGGTTATATCTAGATTCTTTTCTTATTTTAATCTTAATCTCAATGTTGGTAGGAGTATTAAA